GTCATGGGCTCTTCTAGAGCTCATTTCCTCCTCATTATGATCATTTTGATCATTAGCTCCTATTTTTCAAGGATTGTTACCTTTGGAACCGATTGGTCTACCATGCTTCATGCGTACAATAAACTCTATCCTTCAGGGACTTTAATATTAATAGGAGCATTTGCAGCTGAAATATGATATTTAATTTTGGATCAGCAAATGCTTCTGCCATTTTACTTGAATTACTCTTCTAAGTGGTTAGTGATAACTCGATTCATATAGCATATTTTTCAGCTGTTTATTCCATCCCCCAAATGTTAGAAAAACTAACATATATCCCTAATCTTCTTCGGGAAACATATCTTTGTGCATTGTGGTAGAGAAATTAATCATATACCACACATCAAAAGATAGTAAAAATATTTGGTTTCTGATCCTAAACCAATTGTGAGGGGAGGACTTATCATATATTGTTGGTCTGATGCATACAAGTGCTGCTATATGCAATTAAGAGTATCTTAGACCAACACATGAAGCTTTGTTCTTATAAGCAATGGTTTAGCCATTAATAGGAGGTATTCAATGTGAAACCAGCTTGGATATAAACCAGCATTATCAAGATGAACTGTCTTGATTTTATAATGTGAAAGTTATGCTCTTAGTTGAGAAAAGCAATTTTAAATGCCAAACTGCAGGTTGACAATGAACACACATGTAACCATCTTATATATGCATCTATAAGTGGTTCACATGATAGCTGAATGAGTCCATATTCACCTTTTATATATTTCAGAATTCAGGGGTCTTAGTCCCAACTTTAGCCGGTATAACTAGGGGTGGGCATCGGTCGGTTCGGTTCGGTTATGAATATTATCGGTTTTGTCTATCGGTTATCGGTTTATAAATATGATAAACCGATAAGCAAACCGATAAGATATTGGTTATCGGTTAAACGATTATTGATCATTATCGGTTCGGTTATCGGTTTACCCGATAAGGTAAAACTAAAATTAAGAGTGCTGATATATATTACCATGGCCTTTGCCAAAGCTCACCGAGGCTGAAGTCAAGCAATTGATGGAAGTTGTAAGGCAGAACAACCCCTAAATGTTACAGTATTAACCATTTCTTTCCTTCACAATTATAATATCTCATGTCTTGTAAACTTCAGGCCGATGTGGATGGAAATAGCTCAATTGACTACACTGAATCAATTCATCACCGCCACCATGCATAAGCACAGGCTAGAAAGAGACGAAAATCTATTTACTGCATTCAGTATTTTGATAAAGATGGCAGTGGGTACGTACTATGTGTATATCCTACAAACATGAGAAATCAGATATAAACACTATAAACACTAAACAGAAAAACAAAGATGTGACAGTAACATATCGACTATTAGCAAATTCTATTATCATCAACTACACATTAACCCAAATAGAACACAATGCAGAGCTAACTAATTTACAACAAGATATCCCATTCACCAAACAGCTAGAGAATCCAATGCCACTTCAGGATTTGGTAGCAAACCAGCAACTAAAACCAATATCTGAAAGTACCACATCTTCAAACACAACATCACAGATGAAGCAGCTGACAACTTAGTAGTAGTTTGTTTTTATCAACTGACTGAATGGAAATATCAGCAGTACAACTATACGTCTACACCCCTTCCACTTTATAATTTTGTCTATTCTATAACTTAATCCACTGAACTTGTGAATGAAATGGATCTTAACTTTATTTATGTGTTTGTTCCTTATACATTCAATTTATTAAAAATTAAAAGGGTCTTAAAAAATCCATGTATTGATGCCTATTCTCTTTAGGTATTTGCAGTAGACAGTAGTCCTAAAAAAGGCAGTCAAGAGCAATACCAGAAAAGAGAAGCTTCAATTTCTTGCTACTCACATTTGATAGACGAAAAGGGGAAATTGGATACCCATATAACTACATATTTAGAAAATCATTCAAGTAAATATGCAAAAATTGATTTCTAAGGGAAGCCTAAATCAGTGTTTCTAAGATACCAAACTAAGACGAATTCAGAAATGGGATATGAAACACTGACCTTAGTGCAATGCTCTCCCGAAAAATGATAATAGAAAACTGAGTCTTGACGGGCTCAACCGTGGTTGCGTGAGTCATGAGGCGGAGAACTGGTGAGGGATTGAGCCGTGTGGCCGGTGGCGGACTGGCGGAGAACTGGTGAGGAGTGAGGACTGAGGGTGAGGGTGACAGGGAGTGAGGCGGAGAAAAAACTGAGAAAGAGAAATTGAACCATGTATATGAAACCCTAGTATGTATATACTTAAGGGTAAATTAGTTAATTAGTAAACCCTTATTGATTTATCGGTTTACCCAATAACAGAATTGCTAACCGAGCCCGAACCGATAACCCAATTAAAAAAAATTACCCGTTACCGAACCGTTAACCCGATAACCCAATAACTAATTAACGGTTCGGGTTATCGGTTTTATCCGATATATGCCTACCCCTAGGTATAACCAATTTATTATGAGAACAAGTAGCACAAGAGAACTCTTGAAGAATCTTCTGGTTCTTCAGTATATGCTTATCAGAATTCTCAAATAGCTCATTTAAAAATGGCAAATGAGAACTTCAAGTTTATCATGTCATGTGTTATCTCTTAGTAAACTTCTAGTTTACTATGGCATAAACTTTTGCATTAGTAAACTTCTGGTCTACAATGATACATGATGTAGTACAAATTGAAGAATAAGGCGGGTAACTTTTCATATACATACTATTTTACCTCCTATGATTGTGGAAACGTGAAGATTTTCAATATTCCAATCATTTGTAGTCTCAATATGATATCCAGTTGTATTAGTAAACTTCGGGTTTACTACAACATATGTTTTGACCACAATCATATAATATGAATGACAATTTGCATATAAGCTCTTCGGGAGCCTTCAATTTATTTTCCACAATCAAATATTATTCAGATACTACTGGTATCATGTGTCTTCTAGACAAACAATTAGCTCTTCAGGAGCTTTTGATAAATTTTGTACTACCAAATAGTGCTCAGACACTTCTGGTGTCGTGAGAGAAAATCTTAATCAAATTAATAAAGACAATTCTAAATTTATAAATGTAAGAAATTAAAAATTTCAGTATTTTTACCACCAACTTTATGACAAATATCTCCTTCAGGGAGAAACGCCATTAACATCTGAATATTTTATATCAAAGCGGTAACCACATAGTCATTACATCCTTCAGGGAAAGATACACGAGTTGTTATCGGGGAACTCGATGACTAACCATAACATATTAATGTGGTTGTAGTAGAAAGCATTCTACAGGAATACTTTTGCCTTGGAATGATATTTAATAAAATTTTTCAAGATATTTTACGTACAACGGGTACGTGCGATAATGATTTATGCCACAAAAACAAGATTTATATCCTTTGTTATTCTACCTCTTCAAGAGGTGAGTTGTGGTATTTCTTCATCCACTCCAGGGAATGAAAATGTGCTTCAAAAATAGCTTTGAATAGCTTATTATTTTGTTTAAGCACAGAAAGACACAGTTTCATAATATTTTCCTGCTTCAGGAGAAAATTTCAGTTGTGTTACTTCTTCAGGAGTAAATTTAAAATACAAAATATTGAGTATATATTCCCTCAATCATATTACCTCTTCTGGAGGTGAATTGTAATATATTCACATCAAAAGCGCGTTCATATTTACGAGCTTTATCAATATTGTCACATTCACTTCAGGAATGAATTAATATTTATCAAAGTTCTCATCTTTCAAGGAACGGAACATAATTATTTGAACGTGCATTAATCACACCAAATTGTGTGACGGATTAGAACCTCTTTTAAGATATTGCTACTTCAGGAGCAAATCGAGGCATGCAAGTAATATAGAGAAATTTTCTCTAACTTATCTTCAATTATAACCATAGAAAGCCTAAATTATCACTTCTGTTGGTTATAGGCATATACCACTTCTGGTGGTTAACAAAATCTAGTTACGATGAGATATAACATAACCACTTCTGGCGGTTATATATTTCTTTCAAACTCTGCTGGAGTTTAAGTGGATCTAACAATGTTATCCACTTTATAATCCTTTATTAAGATAATCAGGATGAAGAAAATAAATACCAAAATAGATACTGTATACGTAGCATATAACCAAGCAAGCAATGATAAACATATTAAATATAAGTAAAAGACTCAAATTACTTTACACAAATTTGGCCACTCTAGATGTAAGTGATATCCACATCTCTACCGCCAAGAAGAAAAGCTCACCACCTCAAGGATATAATCTGTCTTGTGATGCTCAGAATGAACAAGATCTAACCACGGACCTAAGAGTGTCGCCTTACATCGGAGATGAACATTGAAATATAAATTAAATTCGAAGTAAGTGCTTAAAATGGCAGAGTCTCGACGTATTATAAAATAAAGACTGTAAAGTAATAAATCAAAGACAAGTATATAGAGAGAGATTTATTATTCAACTTCAAAGTCATGTACATAATGAACTGAAATCTCCTCTATTTATAGAAGAAAGGAAGATGTTGTGTAAGCTGCTACTGCAAGCTCCTGTGTAAGCTGCTACTGCAAGCTGCTCTGTAAGCTGCTTTTAAGTTGCTTGTAAGCTGCTACTGCAAGCTGCTGTGCAAATTGCTTGTAAGCTGCTACTGCAAGCTGCTGTGTAAGCTGCTTGTAAGTTGCTTGTAAGTTGTTACTGTACCAGATATAGATAATTTCTACCGGGGATAATATTTTTCCATAACGAGGTACCGAATTGATAAGCTTATTCAGGAGACTTATTTCCAATAGAGTACTAAATAGATAAATATATTTACGGCGGAGTTCCATATGAATAAACTTATTCAGGAAGCTTATTTATAGCAAAGTACTAAATGAACATATTTATAACAATAGAGAGAAAGTCTTTCTTATTTCTCAAGTGCATTTAAATTAATATTTGTGAACGGATGCAAGTGGAAATTCACATTCTATTTCATTAGCAACAGAAAAACACATGACAAGATGAAAAATGGTTCGTGGCTGAGACGTGGAGCTAAACGTCGCCGTATGACAACAACCGACTCTTCATTTCTCTTCTGTTCCTTTCGGTTTGTGTTCAATACTACTGGTTTCTGATGATCGCCAGTAGATACATACACTCGTCATTCTCACCTTCTCCGAATTCACCAACCTAGGGTTTTCGAACTCTCTGGATTCTTCCGTGCAATTTCTAGAAACTTCGTCAAATGGAATCACTCTGTTTCCACGACGGCAACATCACTGACTTGATCAACAAACGATCCCTCCACGTTCGCCATGTACGCCTAAATTCTCATCTCCTCATTCAGTTATCTGTTTGTATTTTGAAATTTCGTCAGTTTGCTATGAGTTTTTGTTCTATGTAATATTTACGTTATGATGATGCCATAAGCTATGATTATTTATTGTAGGTTCAGTTAGTTAAGTGAATAATTGTGCCTTGTAACGTGAGGAAAGGAAATACTGGTGGTGTAAAGTTTACCACATTCTGAGTGTAATTCGAACTTTCTAGCTAAGGTTCCAGCGGATGAAATGTTGAGTTTCATTGAACAATGATCACTGATTGCTCATGCCTTCACTTATATTGGACAATCTCTTGTATGATATTATAATAGGAACACCTATAACTATAAGGATGGCCTATTAGTGACTGTCGTGGTTGCCCTCACTAGCCCAACTTGATTTTGAAAGGGAAGGGAGAAACTTTATATTCGTTGTTTAGTATTTAATTTCGGAATAGCAGAGCAATGATACTAAATTGTGCTGGCAAGAAACAAAAACATACACAAATGCATATGAGAAAGTATTTATGCCGTGCTAATGGCAAATATCAGACTAGTTGTGACAGATTGAACAGATTATGACACCCTAGAAATACTTGTCAGAAAAAATGGGTACCCTGAAAATGTTTCATAGTGTTTCTGAAGCAGCTTCGATTGAATCAAGTAAGCCACCCCTAGAAGGCCTCGTGTTGGCATTTAAACCCTAAGTGTTTGTAATAGCAATCTACCTTTTTCATAAATCAAATCCAAGCTCTGGTTAAAGCCCTTACTAGTGGTCAGTATTAGGGGTCGTTTGGTAGGAGGTATTAGAGAAATAATGCAAGCATTAGCTCTACTTGCATTAGCTCTGTGCATTACTAATACCTTGTTTGATATATTTTTTCAACCTGTGAATAACTAATGTTTGTATTAGTTATACATCATACTTGATATTATCCTGTGTATAAGTAATGCATACAAAACCATGACATTAGTAATCCATGGCTATTAATGCATGCATTAGTATGGTTAAAGACAAAATTATCCTTAAAGTCCCTTAAAGCTAGAGAATATGTGGGGCATTTTTGTAAATAACTATTATTCTTAAAAATTATGCAATGCATTACAATTTTTAATACACCACACCAAACAGTAGATAAGACATAATATCTGCATAACTAATGCTTGCATTACTAACTCATGCATTACTAATCCCTGCATTATTAATACACTTTATTCCGCACTATTCTTATACACCCGACCAAACGACCCCTTAGAGTTCATGCCCGTGGTACAAAGGAAAATGTTTAACATAGAATTAATTTTTGTTTTATTTTTACTGTTTGGTCTGATGTAAAAGTTGGTGACATTTCATAAATCACACAAGGTATAGGATGACGTATGAAGATAATACTTTTGACAATGTTTTCGACTATTAAAGTACTACATACTACAATGTCGAAGTTAGAATGAAGTAAGTGCTTTGATTATGAGTTGAGATATTTGTAAAGGAAAATGACTTTTGTTCATAAGAGGGAAATCACTTTTCTTTTTTTTTTTTAGTGGAAAATATTTTGTTAGAGAAAACATTTCGAAAATTGAAGGTAATCAAACACGGAAATTGTTTACGTTGAAGAAAATATTTCTATCAAACAAACTCACTTGTATGTGCCGTATGAATTAAGCAATTACTGGGTTCGATTGGTTCTCTTCTCTTTCCGAACTTTTAGCATGTTATCTCTCTTTTCTACGTATTTTTAGATCTTCTTTGATGATTCCTACTCATACTGTTTTAATCTTCACCAATTTTAATCAGCGAGAAATGATTCTTCTTTTTCTAAAATATGTACTCATGCATTCCAAGCCAAAAGTATTGTAAAGAAGAGCACAAGTAGCTCTAAATAATTATATCAGTTATGAAAATGGGAATAAGAAATGATAAACGCAAACCCTCATTTTATTCATCGTGTTCGTTACTACTTTTCGAAAAAGAAGAAGAAATAAGTTGAAAAATTAACACACGAGAACTATTTCCTGCCGACTAAAAATCTGAAATAAATAAGTGAAGGGCAAATGTATTTGCTTTTCTTACTCAAACCAATGTTGTTAGATTTTGAGAGTTGCAAGACAAAACCATCACAAGAGCTTAGAGCTTTGATTTGACTTTTGGGCAGTTACACTTTGGTTAGTCTTTTTTGAAATTTTATCAAATGCTTTTACAGCCATCGGAAATATCTTTCTTCTTTGTTTCCTATATGTGAGACCAGCAAAGTTCCCAGTCCCTTAGTAATTTGGATTACTAATAAGGTTCTCTCTGGTGTTTTTAAACTCATTACATTTCTGCATATTTCGTCTCATCACTATATTCTGCTTGGGTTCTTATTCATTATAGGACTCCGGTCATGGATTGCAGATGCACTCCTCTTTGGTGGAAAGAATGGCCTTAGAAAGAGAATTGGAGGTGAGTGCGTTAATGAGTACAACACTACTGCACATACCATTAAGGTTTTTATCTCATAGTATCTTTTATCTGACATAATCTGATTCAAAGTTGGGTATCTCTCTGTCGAGAGTCGGGTTAAAGATAAACATATTTGTTTTCATCTTTTTTATTGCAAATGACAGTCATTAAAACCCTCTTCCTATTTTACTGGAGATCAACTAGTTAAGGTTGTCAATTATTTACCTTTTTTCTGAAGTGCAGCCCATGTAAGTGGTATTCTTTCCTTTACATAAATAGGTGCATCATGTAGACATTTTTTTCTTATTTATGGATTGCAATAAAGTTTATGCTTGTAGAACCTAGATCAGAATACAAATTTTAATATTTCAAGATTCTAGAACATTATGTGAAATGATTGTGGTCAAAATTGCACCTTACTTGCAAACACATCATCAAAAAAATGACTCACTTTGATGTGTTGAGTTGGTTGGGGAGTAGGTTAATAAATTTTTTGAAGTGTGAAACATTGACGCAGTTGAAAGAGATATCACATCAAGTTTGAAATAGTATAAAGTAGAAGTGTTGGATAGGGAAATTAGTATTTCTGACGAATGGTTCTAGTAAAATGTATTCAGAAATGCTTCCGAAGAAACACATTTTCATAAGCAAACCATTGTGTAGCTGTATTATAATTCCTTCCACACATTAGCAATAAAGTTCTGATCCTCCATTTCTTTCATGCTTTGTAATTAAATTTACACTGTTCAATAGAAATTGTATAATAATAGACCTAACCTTGAATTTCATAATAAGAAAGGGGGTATTCGATCCAGACATGAAATGCTGCGTACATGCAAAGGATATGTCTGCTTCTGGTTCTCAATGTATGTGAAGAGAATTGGACACATCAAAGGCATATAGGTGGTGTCTGAGTGTCCATGTGTCAGACGGTTAAACCCGCTAAGAAATGCTGTTAGTTCTCCATTGGACTTCTGTTTGGTGGTACTTTGTTGCCTCATGGATATATATGTCTGTGCTCACAGTCTCAAGGGTTTGTTCATTGTTTAACAGGGGCATCAGGGTTGTGTGAATGCGATAGCTTGGAACTCTAAAGGCTCGCTTTTGATATCTGGATCAGATGATACAAGAGTATGATACTCTCTACTCCTCGTTGCTCCCTTATTCTTCTATTTTAGATGAACTGTTAAAAGCTTCTCAATGTGATAGCTGGGTCGGCTTTAGAGTCTGCAAGATAGCCAGATATAAGAACTGACAAGGACCACATACTTGTATATATGTTCTTAATATTTATTCCACCCTGTCAAGTAGACAGATTGTTGTTGATTAGTGGTCATTTGAAACTCTTTAGTATGTTTTATATTGATCGTTTTTGTACGTAGTTTTCTTGTGAGAGGCTCAAGTCTATTCCCATTCTTTTTCCAAAGTGCGAAAACATAGGTGTTTGACTTGGACAGACAGAGAAGTTTTATTTAGTGTTTCACATGAGCGCAGGGACGAGGATGGGGATGGGGGACTTCGTAAGTTGTTTTAGCTGTGGATTTATTGCCTGCTGAATACCTTTTATGATGTCTTTGATGATTCTGCTCATTATGACGTTTGCATAATACAACGAAGTGGGAAAAGACTGTCAACAAAAACCTTGAGATTTATTTGTTATTTTGTTCCATGGGTTAGATGTGATCCAGTGAGGGTTGTGACTCAAAAAGTGTTGAGTCAAGGAGTCACATCTGCATTTTGATACAGTTTAGTCAGCATATAAGTCGGTCTTTCCATGGAAAGATGTTTCAACGATAACAAACCCAATGAAAGTGAAATCCCACAAGTGGGGTCCGGGGAGGGTAGCATGTACGCCGACCTTTCCCCTATCTTTAAAGATAGAGAGACTGTTTTCGATAAACCCTCGGCTCAAGAAAACATAGTTAGAACATTGTTGAAAAGAAATGCAGTAATGGAGAAGTGGAAAAGAAGTACCAGTAGATACAACAAGATGCAAGAACAACAGCAAGATAATAAGATAACCGAAGCAAAAGAATAATCGGTAGTAATAGAAATCTAACTACAAGCAAGTATGAGAATAATATTAATGCTACAGATACGGAAAAGAAATATGCTCGACTATTTACTAACCATTTACCCTAATTTTCGTCCTCCACACCCTCCTATCAAGGGCCAACCTCTCACACCTTCTTACTGGGGCAAATGTGTATCTCTTCACATGCCCGAAGCATCTCAGCTTCGCTTCCCGCATCTTGTCCACCACGGAGGACACTCTTACCTTGTCCCAAATATCTTTATTCCTAATCTTTTCTCTCCTAATATACATACACATCCATTTCAACATCCTGATTTTCGCTACTTTCATCTTCTGGACATAGGAGTTCTTTGACTAGCCAACATTCCGCCCAATATAACATAGTACGCGTAACAACCAACTTACCTTTAAGTCTCGGTGGTACATTCTTATCATACAAGAAACCAGATGCAAGCCTCCATTTCATCCACCCCGCTTCAATACGATGTGCGACGTCATCGTTGATTTCATCATTACCTTGGATTATCGACCTATGATACTTGAAACTTTCTTTCTTCGGGATGGCTTGTGTATCAAACTTGACTTCCAAACCAGCCTCATGAGTTACGTCACTAAACCTACATTCTAAGTATTCTGTCTTAATCTTACTCAACTAATTTAGAACCCATATAGGGTCTGTCTCCAAACTTCTAGCCTAGTGTTAACACCGTCTCGTGTTTTGTACAATATTTCGTATGTTCAGTTGCTTTAACATTTTTTTTTGTAATAGTTTAAGTTTGCTAAGCTACCATAGGAGCATCCATGGTTTGCTTTGTAATGTTGATATTGCAAGAAGGGGAGCTTTGGTGTAACTGGTAACGCTGCTTCCATGTGACAAGGAGGTCACTGGTTCGAGCCGTGGAAACAGCCTCTTGCAGAAATGCAGGGTAAGGCTGCATACAATAGACCCTTGTGGTCCGGCCCTTCCACGGACCCCGCACATAACAGGAGCTTAGTGCACCGGGCTGCCCTTAATGTCGATATTGCAAGTCCCTAGTGGCAGCACATCTAGTTGTTTGAGGCAATTGTTAGGGAGACGCTTCAAATATCGTTCTTTGACTGTTTGTTAAATCATATTGTTATTATAGACTTTCTTCGGACTGTTTTCCTTCTGTCTCTGATTGTGATTGATTCACATTAAAGAGAGATATCAAACTTTCTTCTGTACATTTGTACCTTAAGAATATGGGTTTTTGGGAAAATAATTTCTTGCTTTGTTTTAAATCAGTTTGAGCTCCACTGACTGTAGAAGCAACCCGCTTATCTGAGGTCCATATTATAAATAATCAAATATAGCTTGATATCCGTAATGGGCTTCTTGAATCAATCTGTTTATTTTAGCCAGTTTGACTGCTGATGTGTTGATTACTAATGTTATAAACAATAGCTGCAGACTTCAGATGAACCATTTCAGATCAAATGGTCTTTATTTCTCTTGATCATTTAGAAAATCGGCATTCAAATAGCAGCCCAGGGCTAAGCCTCCTTTCTAACAACGTGGTGGTGACTTGCTTTTGAAATCTTTTCCTTTCAATCATGATCCTCTACCTGGTAGAGAGTGGCATGTCCTCTGAGGAATTTGTATTGTGGTGATCTAAAGTGAGAAGGGCATTTACTAATATTTTTCTGGCATCAACATAAAAACTCACTTTATGGCTATATGCCCTGATCCACTTTACTTGTTGCTATTCCCTTGGGAAAAGGGAAAGCTATTCTTGCCATGGATTGCAAAATTTGGTGGATAGGTGATACAAAACATTGCTCAACAAGCCGTGAGATTTGTTTCTTTATTCGTATCTTTTAGGATGAGTACTAACCTTCTTCACTTGGTAATTCTTTGTTTCTGGTGTGTCGTTCATAGTTCTCCTCCGAGATGGATGATCCATCTTTGTGTTCATCCAATAACTTGCAAATGGCACTCATAATAAGCAACAAAATTCAACCTTATCAAAAAAAATAAGCAACAAAATTCAAATAACTGCATACACAAGCTTTGCTCCTTGTGATGTTATGGCTACTGGATGATCCTGAATCTTTGAAATTGAGGACCTCCATGAATTGTGCTGTAACAATTATTTGGAGTTTTGGTCACGCATGAAAACAGTTAGGGTTGACATGAATATATTCCTGTGAAGGGAGGCTAAGAATTTGAGATAGAGAATTATCCTATTCTTCAAATCTAGAGATGATTGAATAAAAGAAAGTTTTATATAAACTTAAACTTAAGATGGAATGTAAATCTTCAGAGATGCTTTGTTACATCTACTTTAAATGAAGAGCTATTACTGACACAAAAAAGAAATCAAAGCAAGAGCTATTACTTGTAGATGGAACAGTTTGTCGAAGAGCTGGTTGAGAATCTTGTGAGCAATTGTTCACAATTTCTTTTGCACTTTGCAGGTTATTTTTGTTGCCCCTTAGTTTATGGTTACTGTATCTGTATTCCATTCCCTGGGTCAGTTGATATTTGGCATCTTGTGTTTGTTCACTAAAATCTGAGTGGAAAAATTTACTTTATTTGATGCAGATGAATATCTGGAGTTATTCAAGCTGCAAACTTTTGCATTCCATTGAGACCGGTCACACTGCCAACATATTCTGCACGAAGTTTGTTCCAGAAACTTCAGATGAGCTAGTCGTTTCTGGAGCAGGAGATGCTGAAGTAGTTTATTGATACACCAAACCTTTGTGTGTTTTTATAACGATGCTGTTCACTTGCCTTGAGTGGGTTTTTCAGAAATTAATGCTCTCTTTATATTACTTTATATGGCAGGTTCGTCTTTTTCATTTGTCTCATCTAAAGGGAAGAGGTGCTGAAGACGGTGCTTTGACTCCGTCCGCTCTATTTCAGTGTCATACTAGGAGGGTTAAGAAAATAGCTGTAGGTGTTCAGGCAGCGGGGAAACATCCTTTTAATTGATAATCAAGTATTTGTGGATTTTATTTCCTTTCTATTTATAGTATATGCTGCTGTCTCTAATTATAGGTCGAAGTTGGGAATCCTCATGTAGTATGGAGTGCTAGTGAAGATGGGACAGTGAGGCAGCATGACTTACGGGAGGGTGCGTCTTGTCCCCCAGCTGGTTCTTCTCGTCAAGAATGCCGTAATATACTTGTTAGTCCTACTCACTCTGCGTTGTGCTGAATTATATTTCCTGCTTCACCCAAAGGCTAAAGACCCCTATCTCTCTTATAAGAAGATCAAGTTACAGCTGCCTCATCAATGAGTGTTTTTGTTCTCACTTTGTTGTGACATCATCATAAAGTGCTTTGGTTATACTTTTTTGTAATTTGGCCAAAGGCAACTGTGTTTGGTGCTCTAATAGTTTTTCCTTGGCTAACCTGAAGCTTTAGCTGCCAACTCAAAAAGTTTTACTTCCTCCATTCCAATTTATGTGAACTCATTTGACTGGGCACGGAGTTTAAGAAAAGAGAAAAGATCTTTGAACTTGTGGTATAAATTGAGGCACTTTTTGTGTGGCTATAAATCATTGCATAAAGGTAAATTATTTCCAAATAGGGAAAGGGGTCATTCTTTTTGGCACGGACTAAAAAGGAAATATGTTCACATAAATTGAAACGGAGGGAGTATATGATTAATATTGATTTTTACATTTGTTGTATAAACATAACTGTAACTTTTTGAAGACTTTGATTCTTTCTCGAGTGGTTGATTTTAATGTTTCCAAATAGTCGATCTGCATTTGTAGTCAAGCGAGTTGATATGAATGTTAAGAACTTTGATTTAAGCTGTGATGTATCTAAACAGTTTGCATTTCGATATGTTTGGCCCGTGATGACAGCTTGACTTACGCTGTGGAGCTAAGAAATCATTAACTGATCCTCCGAAACAGTTGTTTGCTCTGAAGTCGTGTGATATTAGCTCCACAAGGCCTCATTTGCTCCTTGTTGGTGGAAGGTGTAGTTGTCTTTACTAGTTTATTGCAAAGGGTATATTTCAGGCCGTCCTGCTGGTTTTCTAATCTGCTATTTAATTTTTGCAGTGATGCTTTTGCTCGGTTGTATGATAGGAGAATGCTGCCTCCATTATCCTCGAGTCAAAAAAAGCTGCCACCTCCACCTTGTGTCAGCTACTTCTGCCCAATGCATCTTTCTGATCGTGTTAGTTTCAGTTTCAGTTTCAGTTTCTGCATTATCTCACTTTAGAGTCTCCCCAGACCCCACTAGTGGGATCCTACTGGGTTGTTGTTGTTGTCACTTTAGAGTCTGCTAACTGTTTTGCTAGCTAGAGTTTCTATTATTTCTTTATCATTAGAGGTAGAGTGGTTTTAGTAGATCATCGGGAACACCTCATCTCTTTTTGCACTTTGCAGCTGCTTGCACTGAAGGTGTCCTCCTTGTAACCTTCTTCTGACTTCATACAACAAGAAATCATTGAGAAGTTCTTGCAAGGAACTTGTGTAGTCCACTACATGCTATATTGTCAATCCTGTAGTTGGAATTGGATATCAATGAACTGTCTAGTGGATTTTTTTGGTAGAGGGAGAAAACAAGGGGAGGGGGTCCTGAATAGGATCAAATGTTTTTTTCTGCAAAACATGACTACATTAGAATTTGACTAATCCAAAGAGGGTAATCCACTTCTGACATGGTTTTTCGTTGCTGCCAACCATCTTAAAATTTAATTACGGTTACATGGTCCATCTGTGGTGTGTGTGTGTGTTTGTAAACTGCAATCAACAACACTGGAAAAGGAGGGACTGGAAAAGTAGCTCACTTTAAAGAAAGTGAGCTACTCCACTTTATCATGGCCATGTAATAGTAGCGTACTAGATTAGTGCAGCTGTGGCTGAATTTTACAGTGGATATCTATTTCTATAGAATTTCTTGCCATGTAAAGTTAGTTTTACATCCATTTAATAGCAACTCTTCTTAGTTCTCTCTCTGTGTGTGTGTGTCACACACATACATATCGTATATTAGTCTTGCTGTAAGTCTGTAACCCATCACTGCTTATTTTCCTAAGTGATTGTAGCATATCACGTGGCTTCGGAAATGGAAGCTAATGAATTTTTCTCTTTTTCCTCAGGGACGTTCCAGCTTGCATCTGACTCATGTCGCATTTAGTCCCAACGGAGAGGAGGTTTTGCTTAGCTACAGTGGAGAACATGTATACTTGATGGATGTGAATCCTGGTACATAGCTTCCGTTGTATTCTATCTTACAATCGGTAACTTTGTTATTGATTCTGTTTTCACTTTCCTCTGCCACCTCATATGGTTGTGCTCCTTGTGCCTTCAGTTTCTGGAATCCCTTGAAACCTGTGATGAATCTAACTTGTGCAGTATTAGCTATAGTGGGTTCGAGGACAGTACTTGAGGAATTCTGTTAGAGACTTCACGTATTGAGTATTCAATTATTATACTATGTTTTTTCTGCTGCTCTCCCTCGTGTTGTTGAAGCCAACTTTAATTAGCGTTTTAACAAGTTTGAAAGATAAGCAATATGGAGGAAAGAAGAAAAGAAAGAAGATGTAGGTTTGTTGATAAGGTATGATAATGAAGAACATACTAATAGTATTATAAAATAAGCACACGATATTTCTGGGTCTTCTTATGTGTAATTAATGCGATCTTACGTTTTTTCTGTACCATCGGGGTAGCACAGAGCACTTTGTGCACGGGGAAGCTTGTTTTTATATCAGTGACATCTGTTAGTTACTCATTAAGTTGCTCTTCATCCTTGTCAAGGTGGCGACCTCATTGAGGGAGAGCAAAATTTATTGTAGTTGGCTTCTTTTGATTGTTTGTTGATGGTGGTCTTCTTTTGGTAAGTGGTCCCCTGACCTCGGGATCAGTGTACTTGTATTTTTACACAGTCTTTGTCCACATTCATTTAAGTATCTGATTTGTTAGAAAAACTGTAACTCTTCGTGAATGAGCGCCCGTGCCAGATATACTGGGTGTTGTTCAAGGTTAATTGACAAATGATTTTATCCCTGTCAACTTGCTTCAAGTGCTTGGTCCACGTGCATGTGATATTCGAAAGTGACTGTGAGTTGAAAGTAACTTGATTCACTACCTGCTGAGATATTACATTCTTTGTGCTTGAAAGCTTAAGATAAATCATACTTGAATCTGGTTATGTTACTGTCTTATGATTGATGAATTTTTTATTGGTTGTAGCACATGGAGGTTCTATGCCGTATACTTCAGGAGATGCGTCAAACCTGATGAATTTTGCTCCCTTGCTCAATGGAATCGAATTGCAATCATCAGTTAGTGGAATCTTTGTAAACAGTTCTTCATCGAAAAGAATTCCAGCTACCAAGGTTATTCTTCCTTCTCTTTACCACTCCCATGATCTCCTGCTTCCTGGCCCAAGTGATAAAAAATTGCATTTTGCTTTCTCTTGCTTTAGGATGACAAATCATAATCATCGTTTTTTCCTTCTCCAGCAGCTAGAAAAATGCAAAAAATTGATTCAGATGGCAATGAAGTCTTTGAAAGAAGATTCCAACTTTTATTATGGGATAGAAGCTTGTAATGAAGTCTTGGACGGTTGCAGGGATGACGTTGGTCCCCTTCTAACCTTCGAATGTTTATGCACTCGTGCAGCAATATTGCTCAAGGTGTCTGAAGTCAGACAATTTCCTTCTTGTACTGCGTTAATGCTTAATTAAGGATAGTATACCTAATTTAAAAAATCTTTGGCCTTTTATCAGAGGAAGTGGAAAAATGATGCACATATGGCTATAAGAGATTGTCATAGAGCTAGAAAGCTCAATTCATCTTCCTTTAGGCCTCTTCTTTTGATCGCTGATGCTCTTTCACAGGTATGTTATTCAGTGTTTGTAGGATTCTGTGGCTTAAATTTTGTTGTTCATATGCTGGATAGAAGTAAGCGCCCAATTCCCATGTGGGCATTTGTGCTCCTCCCTCCATTCATGGTCGCAGTCCTCTTAGCCATATGGTTTTTCTTGCTTGGTTGTAATCGTCCTTCTCTCTCATTTCTTTTTCCAATATCGCATTGGAGTATCAATTATCAGTGAGAAATTCCAAAGGTGATTGTGCATCATATTTATGATGTACTCAAAATTTAAGGCGATGTATATGCTTTTAGTCATATTTTAACTCATACTGTGATATGGTATCAAAATCATTTGAAGTTTTAGGATTCTCTTTAGAATAAGTTTTTCTTCTCAGACATGAAATAACTTGGGAAAAGTGGATTTTACCAGTCATTCTTATTAGTACACCGTGTAAATGGTTTAGATACTTTTGCTAACGTTATTTTAGTTAAGTTTATGATTAATGTTTCTAGCACTTGATAATTTCTCGCCTCCCAAGAATGTTAATTTTTTTTATAAGGTCGAGAATGTTACTTATTAGCTTACTAAAAAAAGAATGTTAATTATTAATACTATTTTAGGAAATAAGTCTCCCTTGGTTTGGTTTCAAATATGCACTAATCCTCCGTATTATATACCTTTGATCTAATTAGGTATTGTTTGTTGCTATCCATACCTACATATATATTTGCAGACTAGGATAGTGGGTAATTGATTATTTATCTGATTTTGCATTTAGCACTTGATTAGTTACTGATATTATCTGCAGTTGGGTAAACATAAAGAAGCATTGGAGTTCGCTATTGGCGCTCAATCCTTGGCTCCATCTGATTCTGAAGTTGCCCTAAAGGTGGAGAGTATAAAAGATCATATCACTGCAGGTCAGTGACTTACATATTGAGCCTGCGATTTTAGTAGTTTCTTGCCTCAAACAAAAAATGTTTAGCTGGTATCAGTGCCAGCTCTATCAAAATCCTATTGAATTACTAGACTACTGCTGAGTATATTCTAGTTTTTTAATCTTTCATTTCCCTTTCCCAATACTTCTGTAATCTTGTTTGTAGTTTTCCTTATCCATGACTAGCTGATGAGTTATTGAAGACCCTATTGAGCACCATGAGTTTACCGGGTTTTCCTAATTATATTATTTTACCACCACCATAAGGACTATGTTCATGTTTTCCTGTCTGTGCTGCTGTTTTCGGTCCTCTGGGAATCACTGCTCCCTTCAACTCGATGTCAATTTTGTTCTTGTGTGTCACTTTCTGATTAATCTTTCAGGTCTCTTATTATAGCTTCAATGTCAAAATGATTTTTGTAGTTATTTCTATGGATGGAATATAGCTGTAGAGAACTCAATATTGTTGAGGATTCGAGATTCATTTCACTCGAGCTTATTCTTGTCAGGAATGCTAATTCATATTCATGCTTTAATGCGTACCAACAATATTCCTGGATTTACAGCTGAAGCAGACAAAGCAAATAAGGCAAATGGAGGAGAATCTAGGTCAGATCCTCGGGCAGGAAGAGTATTATCTCTAAGTGACATACTTTATCGTTCGGACGCAAACAGTGATGCATCGCAAGATGGTCCCAGGTCTGAAAGAGATGATTCTGATGATGACGAGGAGTTAGAATTGGCTTTTGAAACATCAATATCCGGTGATGAAGGACGGGATGTTGATCTCGATGTCCTCCATGGAAGTTTGAACTTAAGAATTCATAGGAGAGGCGATTCCACTGGGGAGACTGGACGAGCAAATGGTGCTAGTGGTTCGCCAACCTCGAGTCAAAAAGAGAAAGCAGCTTACAAGGTTTTTGCTTGAATGTTGTTTTTCAGTGCTGTAGAGTCCCTCTTTATTTATTCTCTGGATTCAGAAAAGATGTTCTTTTCTCTATCCTTTTACTGTGATGTGTTTGCTTTGATATGCTTGTGCATGTTTGTGCTTTGTTGAGGCTTTTTGTCTATTGAGTTCATGAGTATAACAATGGTTCTGCATATGATATTAAACTCTATATCTTTAACTGCTGGTTAGGTTGTTTTTACCTGATTAGTATCTCTTTTTCTTTAATTCCAGAAGAGTTAATCTAAGCCAAAAGTCCCTAATTTCATCTCGAATCTCTTTCCGGCAACTGGTTTTATACTTTGAATTGTATTCTGAGTCTCAAAGCATAACACTGCTCTTGGTGGCTGGTCTGGCCGTCTGGGTGGATTGTGAGTGATGACTTGCTGGTTTCTGTTGCTTATGAATTCCCCTGCTCCAATGCTTGGATATGTCCAACAGATAGTTCACATAATTTGCCCATACTCCTATGGAACTGAATTTTATTTGCTTGCTTGACCAAAAGTTTTGAGGTTTTTTATTTAAATTTCAAAGGTATCATAGGTTTTAGAAGGTGAGCTGAAGTGTGAAAAGTGATACAAATAATCAGATACATCCAATTCATCACAGTAATTGTCTTTGACATACCATCGTGTAGACTGCTTATTGAGTTGTGGAATTGTAGTTGGGTGACACGAGTTTCATTTGTTAAGAAGTGTCACAATACTCGTACTGCAGACCGACTACTAATTTGCAGAATAGTAGGCAGTCTTGGATTTAATTTGTTAAAAAGGATGTCAATATGCTCAGGAAAGCCAAATTTTCTAAAAGTTGAACATCTCTTGCTCAGAGAAGTTTCTTCCCCCTTGTTATCTGGATGCCTGCACAGCTTATCTTTCAATATCAAGTTTGTTTCCTTGTTTAAACAGTGTTCTTTTTTGTTCTCTCAAATTATATTGCAGCCTGAAGTAGTGATAGATATGAAGCAAAGATATATTGGTCATTGCAACGTAGGCACTGATATAAAACAGGCGAGCTTTCTTGGAGAACGAGGTATATTCAACTTTTTTAATGGTTTCCATGCATATATTCATGATTATCCTGAAATATTATCTGGTAATTATAGTTGAGTAGAAGAACTGCCTTTCATCGGCTTTGTTCCCCTGTAATCTCTTTCAGAAGGATCTCTGTTAAACTAAGAAATTAAGCCTACGTAGACGTCAAAGTCAATTGGTCTATGTGTGACACTGATGATGGTTGAAGGTGTTAAAAGAGGATGCACGTAGAAGGAAATTTGTGTCAAAAGACCAATCTCTAGGAATCCACGTGGATTTGGCTATATGCAAGCAAAAGATCCATATAGTTGATAAGAGATTAACGGCTTAGTGATGTACATGAGCAGACACTCTTTTGTTGTATATTTTGGCTATGCATCTTCTTGATGCCATTTAATGATATTCTCTTCATCAAAAAGAAGAGATTAAGGCTTATTGATGTTGATGCTATTATTTTATGTTAGTGTTTGTCGGAAGGTCTTTAGCTTGTTTAGAAATTTGTAAACCAATAGTAAATATAGAGAACCTGAAGTTTGCCGGGAGTTCTTTAGTTTCTTTAGATATTTGTAAGCCAATGGTAAATGTAGAGAACTTTAAGTGTTAGATAACATAACTTGTCCTGAAAGCGCAACTGTTGCTTGTTGGGTTGAAATGGGTTCAAGTAGCGTGATATTGATGATTCATATAGTCAACCCAATTAATTAGGATTGAGGAACAATTGCTGTTTTTTTTTTACAACGCTGAGCTTTGTCATAGTTTCTAGGAATACCTGTTGTGACAGCATAGAGATCATTCATGTAGCTCATTTCTCTCATCGCCTTCTAATGTAGGAGTAATTGGTTAGAGATCATTCATGTAGCTCATTTCTCGTTGCCTTCTTATGTAGGAGTAGGTGGTTTGAGTAAGTTACCATGGAGTTAGCTCATCTGATCAGATTTACCTTCCCTTAATAGGATAAGCAATCTCACGAGGATAAAATGGCATGAGCAAAGAGTCCCAAAAAGTTACTATTGTTTTACAGCCAGATTTGTTACCCCCCCCCCCCACCCCACCCCACCCACCCAACCAAAAAAAAAAAAGCTCCAATTTCTTCAGAGTCAGCCTCAATATCTGCCATTTGTTGTGGGTTCCCCTTTCCTCTAACAACGTAATACTCTAGCAATAACCCCAAAAAAACAGTAAAAAGAATGTAGCATAGTGTCAGATGGAACAAATGAATCAATATGATCAGTAAATTTAGGGGATGATACATTTTAAGGCACTCACATCAGCAGCTGCTAGAGGAGCAACTGCACGAGCTGCTTCTGCAGGCATGCGAAAATCTTGCCTTTGTTCAGTGGTACCATTTTGCCTTCTCACTGGCCCTTTAGATGAAGAGAATTGGATTTCAGTATACCTAGTTTATGCTATTATCAGATTCTTGGCAAAGAGGTGGATTTTCTGCCTGGATTATGGATTCAGTTTATTGAGTGTGATAGCACATTTTATCTTAATTTATGTAGTGCATGATATGCATGGATGTTACTGGTCCATGATTTTGGGTGATGTGGAGAAATTTCAAATTCTGGATGCGTTCTTTAGAAGAAACTAGTATTAGTACCCGCGCGATGCGCATGATATGCATGGATGTTACTGGTCCATGATTTTGGGTGATGTGGAGAAATTTCAAATTCTGGATGCATTCTTTAGAAGAAACTAGTATTAGTACCCGCGCGATGCGCGGATACAAACATGTGATTTGAGTTATTTGATTTATGTGTAAATAACTTTAAAATATTAATCTTTCAGATTAAAGTTATATATAATCATTAAAAATATGTTAATAAAAAAGCAGAAATTTCTCAAATCTCTTAAAGTTACCCATAGTTTCTTGTCCATATTGCATTACCCATAACTTAAAATTAATTTATTCTTGTCTGTTACTTCCATTATAATACATTATAAGTAAAGCTATTTTTTTTTTGGGTGATGTGGAGAAATTTCAAATTCTGGATGCGTTCTTTAGAAGAAATTGATCATCTTTCTGGCTATTTGGACCAATTATATATTTAGTCTGGTTCACTTTGGTTACTGGTCACAGCATCTCAATCATTCTGAAACTCATGTGTTGTTTATCTGCTTAGAGACTGGCTGTCTTTCCATAATCTTGCTGAGTTTTCCTCCTTGGTTTTCTGGGCATTACTACTTTGATCTGGATTATCGATGATGTGTTGAATTTAAAGGTTTTCTAAGCTACTTTCAAATTTGAAATGTGTCATATTGATCCATTCTATTTCTGTGCTAATCATATGTAAATTAATGGCTCTGTTAAGCACAGCTAGCCATTTGATTGTAAGGATCTTAGTGGATGTGTTTTGAAAATCCCTGTGCAGGTGAATATATTGCTTGTGGAAGTGATGATGGAAGATGGTTTATTTGGGAGAAACAAACTGGTAGACTGATAAAAATGCTTCATGGAGATGAAGCTGGTATTTTTCTTTCTGTTCTCATAAATCTGTTAAAGTTCTTGTACTTTACAGTGGTTGTTATATCTAGTCTGACATCTCGGCCTTCATCCCTATTCAGTTGTAAATTGTGTACAGTGCCACCCATATGATTGTGTTGTGGCTACCAGTGGAATTGATAGCACCATTAAGGTGAGAGACAAATGGCACAAGTATTTGGGAATAGTGGTCACTATTCGTAATGACAAATTTACATAGTCATGTGCATGTATTGCTTTTCAGATTTGGACTCCGAGTGCGTCTGTCCCTTCCCTCGTGGCTGGTGGAGCTGCAGGACCAGAGACTTCCAATGTGTTAGATGCAATGGAAAGCAATCAACGCAGATTGTGCCGCACGCGTGAAGCTGTCTTGTAAGACTTAACAGGCTTATCATTTTCTTTTAAATTGATTTTATAGATGCTTTGGGACATAACTTCTATTGTACACCCGTCAAAACTTTAATAGGGCAGCCCGGTGTATAAGGCATCCCGTGTTCACGCAGGGTCCAGGGAAGGGCCGCACCCCAAGGGGTGTGAATAGACTGCCTACCCTAATGCAAACATTAGTGGCTGCGTCCGCGGATCGAACCCGTGATCTATAGGTCACACGGAGACAAATTTACCGTTGCTCCAAGGCTCCCCTTCACCCGTCAAAACTCTAATATGGAATTGAAAAGCAGACTCTGTTAGTTTCTTCCTTCGGGTGGTCCGGTTATTCATGATCTGTCTTTTATATCTAAAGCCTGGACATGGTAGCTCATAGCCCTGTTTCACCCTGTTTTCTCCTCTGTTCTTGAAGCTACTTTATGTTAGCTCAAACCCGTTCCTCCATTCTTGTTGTAAGGCGCCTTAAGAAATATAATAGACCACCTAATCTTGATGAGAATATAGTAGTGTTGATAATGGCAGAATGACAGACTTCCACGTTGACTGATAGATGAGAAATGGATAATTTCCTATTTTAGCTATTAGTCTCTAACAACTCCGAGCTATCCATATTGTTCTCTGCAGGCCTTTTGAATTTTTGGAGAGATTTAGGATGCACGAGTTTACAGAAGGCAGCTTACATCCATTCGAATGCACGCAGAGCTGATTTTCTTAAACACTGGTATGATAACTTGTTATCTAACCCGTGCACACTTTTTGTTGTGCCAATTGTGTGGTATACCTGAAAGTTCCACTTGGACTGAAATATTGATGTATGAGCTTTTGCATCACCTTCTCCTGAGTTCCTACAAACTCTAGCAATGGTAGCTTTCTGGCAACTTCTTGTTTGAGAAAATGCACACCAATATCTAATAAGTCATAGTTCCTGTACATCCTAGGAATTTTATCTGATAAGATTCTCGTGGATAATGCTACAGTAACAACAATGATGCATGGTAGATGTATCTGATAAGATTTCCATAGATAAGGCTAGAGTGACGCTAATGATGCATGGTTAATGTATCCTCAGTCGGACGACTTCCCTTGACTAGCCCATAGGGAGCATTTGGAAGTCACATGCTACCAGTGATCTAGCAAAAAATGGTCACCTTGCACCTTATACGGGTTCATTCATGTTCTAATTGCAATAATACGAAGATGCGTATGGTTTATGGTGCCATTTATCTTTAAATTAGCTCATTGTGCCAAAAATGCAGCAATGTAAAGATGCTCATTAAGGCAAAATGAATATTTGATCAAGAATGGTAATCCAATATTTTTTTTTTGTGTTTGGTCTTTTTGGGTGAAAAAGGGGACATAGGTTATTGTTTCTTTGTTGTTGGACTAACAAGTTCTTTTTGCATATACGCCCGTAGTATTGTGCTCACTATGTAACACATTTTTTCTATTCATGGGGCTCTAGTTCATCAGTAAAATTAACAGAAGTGCAAGTTTCATCATCCTGTGTCATTCATAGATGACCTAGTAGGTGGCTTAGCGAATTTTACTTCTGAGGTAGGGGTTTGAAGTTGGGATTAATACATTACAGTACACCGATGAGAGAATGTCAAGGAGTGTGACAGAAGCGAGCAAATTGTTGTACCTGGGCTTGAGTTATTTAGCCTATTAAGGATGTAATTAACCATTTTTTCATTGTTGAAGCTTGTTTGCGTTTGACCGGGTTGCTTTAGTTTCTGGAATGCTGTAGGTGCAGCAGTCTTGCTCGTGTTGTATTAACATATGTGTTTTACTACAGGTGGATATGAAGTTTATCCGGTGGACATGCTGGCATGGGAAGGAAGAGAGAGGAATGTATAGTTAACCAAGTCGATAAAAAATTTTGGGTCCCAAACCAGCTGAAGTTTGATCCAATTGTAATTCATATTTCTGTGCAGTCTTTCCTGGTGAAATGTTTCACTGTATTATATTTTAATTCTTCTCAGCTGTCCTCTCTTCCTGCGAGGTCTTTGTAAATATATATCTCGGTCTTTTATCTTACATAGTAATACATTCAAGTTAAACATGGTCTATCCTCATTGTATTTGATTGATAGTTCGAGGCTTAGATTAGCTATAGTAGAGTGCCGTTGGCTTCACCTTTTAACGTGGGCGAGAATGACTGCTAATAGTGTGTGTACTGTGGCAGAATCATATCCTTGGTAAATTAGGATTTCGGTGTTCCGTCATTTTTATGTTTTGTAAATTCTTTCTCTAGCAAAAATATTTCTCAAAGTGAGGAGAGAATGACTACTTGTGAGTGGGGGTGTATAAACTGAATCGGAAGATGGCACCAAGCCGAAAAGTTGAACCAAATCGATTAAAAAATCCGATTAGGTTTGGTTTGATTTGGTTTGGTATTGGGTAGAAAAATCTGAACTAAATCGACATATAAATATATAATTTTTATATATACTTTTAAGATTTTATATGAAATTTTCTTTAGCCCGGAACTAGCTGTTGCTTGTGAAGTATGGAAAGAGACCGTATTTAATTTTGCAGCAGTGGACGTTTTGGATAAGTAAAAACAGTAGACATTAGCAGATAAATTAGCAAAATATCTAGAAATATTGAGGATTTTCTTGCAGAATATAATATTTAATAGATATGAAGTGCTCCATATTTATTAATTTTAAATAATGGATTGTAAGAACACTTTTTTATCAAGTGTTATTGAAATGCGTCATTCTCTTTGTTCTTACATGAATTATATGTTAAGATCTATTAAATTCTTATATCTTTTTCGAATGTGAAGTGATTACTATTATTTAGATATCATATTGATTTTTAAGTTTAATTACTAAATTGGGTTAAACTTGAAAGTGTACGTCAACGAAAATTAATGTCAGACGACTAAAAAATAACTATTACTATGTTTTGCTCTCATATGAATATTCTAATAGATAATATGTTTGTTAACTTTTTATATTTTTACTAATTATATTTACTTATTAAAAATTTAACAAAGTAAGACTGAAATTATATTAAGTAAAAAAATTTGAAAAATTCGATAAAACTGAACCAATTTAATCCGATATAGTTGGTTTGATTTGAGTTATTTCCTTTGGATAAGAGGAAGTTTAGTGCATTTCTTTTGCATGCCCTTCCTTGAACTGACGAGTGAATATACGAGGGTTTGCCATGTTAAATATAGTAGTAAAAGATCTTTTGAAGCTCAGAAACTAAAAAAGTAAAACAAACGCCTCCGACCATAGACGTTATTCCCTTCTACATTTTTTCCGTGTTGCAGTTGAACTCATTAACTTTATCACTCGGCGGAATCTAGTTCTTTAATTGATCATTCACCCAAGTGCGTTTGACGGTGACATGGAAACTTCTGGAAATTCAGGGGAGTATGTAGGAATTTTTGTAATCGGTGTCGAAAGTTATAGAAGAACTGAATTATAACTTTGGTTATTATACTTTTAGACAAGAAATAGCCTTAGTCTATTGGTTTGTTGAGTCTTAAGTTAAAAGGGCTCTTGCGTTCAATTCTTATTCATTACAATTTTTAACCAAAAAGACTCTGTCAAATATTTACAAAAGAAAAAGGTAGTAGTTGAGGTTAGAACCTTTGGCCTCTTATAGCAAAATCAAACACATAACCAACACACCAAGACACAATTTATGTCAAGTTGTGTCATTTTTTCCTAGTTATCCTTTTTCGCATAGTATTAAAACATATATTTAGTAAATTTTCCGACGAAGTGGTGTCGCGTGACACCACTTCACTAAGCGTGCATCCGCCCTCACTAGAATGACCAAGGACTAATCGATTGATTTGGTTTCATTTCATATCTTGAAACAAAAAGTCAAGAATGTAATTTCGCGTAAAGGAAATATAAATCAGAGAATTCGCAAGAATTTTATGTTGGGAATAGGACTTCCAATTAAGGATAAAAGACAAAAGAATTTAAATGGAAAAAAGAAGAATTAATATTGGCTTGATTGATTTGGGTTAGGAAAGTTATTTTTGACAATTAAAGCAGATGATTCCAAATTTATATGGTATTGGTGAATAAAATGGTTTCCAAACGTGATGACCAGACACTAATTGCGATTAGGAGGACTTGTTTAGTTCAAGTATAATTAGTTAAAGTGCAAGAGAATAATACAATAGCGATTGCAGAGACATGTCAAATACAGTATTCCATAAATCAAATGAAATTGGTTTGTAATGACATTTTGCTGTTTTAAGATAGGAGCCGCGTCTTGAGAGTGTTTGTAAGAGTTTTGACATTTTATTGTCTGTTTCTCTTTTGTTTTTCTCTTTTGTTTGGGGTCAAATGATTTTTTGGGTCTTAATAAACTTGTTTTTAGTTTTATTACCTTATCTCTTTTTTACGAATGAGAAATTTATTTTACATATACATCTAAAATTTACACATAAAAGATATAAAAATGACGATTTTTCTGGGTTTTAAGTGATAGAGCTGTAAAAGTTAAATTTTCCAGACCCCTCTTTGCCACTACCACCCTTTTATCTATTTTCTTGGATTTAGAGCTGAAAAAAGGGAAAAAATAAAGTAACTTTGTTGAATCTAGAACACGTTTTGTTGAAATTACGTACGGTCTTTTTATGGAATTTTGTAGCCAATATCTAAGGACGGGATTTTCCATGCCACTCTACGATCAGCTAATTCAAAATAGCAAAGACTTTTTTGGAAAGTTTATCGGCTATAGTAAATACTTTAATGTGAAATCTTCTAAGAACACAGTTAGTATTTTACCATGGGAGCATTCGAATTAAATCGTATCATCAGTAATCTATATATTAATCAATTACAAATCATATTTAAAACTATAAATGAATCAATAAAACTCCTTTTCCCCACCACTTTAGGCCTAAAGGATGGAGAAAAGAAGCAACCAAGAATTTCCTTTTCCTCAAATTGCTTGTCTCTGCATCAATCGTGTCCGGCAAACCAAAATTAATACACAACTAGTAAACTAATTACCCGCACTTTGCACGGGTTTAAGAAACATCAATAAAATTAAGAAAATTATCAAGCTAATAACAAATGTTGATATTATGCCTCTTTTTATGAGATAGAAAATCACCAATAAATAAAATACATTTGGTTTATTTCATAAATTTAATATGTTTATTTGTAGATAATAATATATGTGATGTATAGTTAATTGTATGTTACCAATAAAGATTACTTAAGTTTTATTTAATTAAGAATGTCCAAGACTAATAAAAATAAAAACTAAAATTAAAATAAAAGTTGCATAGATTCTTACTACTAATTACACAAATAAAATAAATTAAATTATTGTTTAGTTGTATATTGAGAAGCTGAAAATTTCTATGAGAAAAAATACATACTTTTTGACAAAAGATCATTAGGAAGGCCTCCTCCTCTTACCTTGCAACATAAATGTTAGAACTTTTATTCTGTTAATTTATGCATTATTGTAGTTAAAACATGTTTATGGGATACATTTAATTGAGCAACTGCAAAATTAAATTAAAGATAATGACACACTTTAAAGAAGAAAATTCTCCAAGTATTGAAATCAAATGGGATTTGATGAATAGTTAGAAATAAATGGAGTAATAATGAGGACAAAGTATATTTTTTGGCAGTTTGTTTGACATAAAATAAGAAAAAAGTTCAAAATTTTAAGAAAAAAGATAAAATTGTCATACTGGTTAAATAGACATGCCACATCATCTTTTCATTCCCGGAAACATTCTAGATTAAATATGAAATAATTCATTTAATCAGTATATGTGAACTTAAATAAAAGATACATAAATCAATAAAATAAAAACACAAAAGCAAATAGTGATAATATAAATCCATATAATGTAAACCTGGCATATTTTTGCTTTTTTTTCTCATGCTCTAAGTTTTTTTTTTAATTTCTTAAGAATTATTAACACTTATGTTCATTGAAGTTAACATTTTTCACGGCTCTCAAATAATTTTTAAAAATACTAAGGAAAGGAAACAACAATAACATAAATATTTTAAAACAAACGAAAGAAAAGAAACAAAAATTAAATATATCCCATCAGTGATAGGATCAAATGCCTTAGTTCCTTATACTTTTCTTTTGCCTATTCTCTTCCTTTTCTTTGTCTCTTCCTTTGTAGTAACATTTTTATTCTCTTATTCCAATTCCAACAATCGAAACCCCCTAATTTTATCCCTAAAATTACAAATTAACAAACCAAACCTATAACTCTTACTTTTTGGGTTTACTTCCCGAAAAATCAAGAAAGTCTTGATTGCATATAGTGGCGTTGATATATCTTGATTGGAACGAGAACGTGCCAAAACATCAATAATACAATAACGCTATAATTAAGAGAAATTTTCATAAAGCACTATCTTTTAGTAGTAATTAGCCATCTATAGATACCATTTGCTATATTACGGGTTATAGACACATTTTCTGTGGTTATATGATGTATTTGATGTATTTAAGTTATTGTATTCATGAATACAATAGCAAAAATAGGCGTGAATCAGGGAAGTCCAGCTAATCAGTTGTTGTATTCGACTGTATTCATGGCGTGAAACATGGGATTACAGCTGGACAGATTACTGTATTCACGGCGTGAAACAGGGGATTACGCTATTTTAAAACGGAAAGTATATAAATTAACATAATAGACTACTAATATAACTCAACAAACTCAATTATAACACACAAAATTTGTATTTCCGGTTATAAAAAAGATTCTCAACTGGAAAAACCCCCAAACACATAGCAATCTTCAGAGAAATTATATAATACATCTGAATACATAAATTATATTAATTAAACATATGAATACATAGAATACAGCGGGATACGTTGAAATACAATAAAAAAAAAGACAGTGAATACAATAAAATACACGGAATACAACGAGATACATTGAATTACAATGAAAAAAAGACAATGAATACAATGAAATACATGAAGCCACTCCGGCGAATCTGTGGAGGCCTAAGAGGAGAATTGGTTCGAAAGCTTTGTAATGGAGGATTTCAGGCTGGACTACTCGATCGGAACGCCGTTGATTTTGATGAGGCCTTTCCACTCCTAGGGCTTGATTTCGATGGTCGTTGCTTTGATTTCGATGGCCGTTGCTTTGATTTCGAACCTCCATCTGAAAGAATGAGAGATCTAAACAACACATTCCACAGGGATCAAGAACCCATGATTATACAAACAAGCCCTTGAATGACTTAAAAATTCAAGAAGAGACACTTACAAAGATAACTGAACAGAATGGAGGGACAGAATATTTGGAGCAATGGGGTTTGAATGGCAGAACTGATCCGCAAAAATTCTGGAGGGTATTAAGATAAAGGGTTATGTTTTACAATGGGATGTATCAAAGTAGAGAGAGAAAGAAAATAGTGTAACTGATTAGCGTATTTAGTGGCTTAGGGCTAGGAGGTAACCAAAATTAAATATTTTGCTATAAACTCTAAAAGGTATATATAGAATATAATTTTTTTAAATGATATTTATTTAAAATAAATAAGGTGTTAACCTTTGCTATAGGAGGTAAAAATTCCTATAATTAATCACAATGCCATCGGGTTGTTATGTTACAAATTTAATGAGCATAATTTTTTATTTCATCTTTTTTCAAAGAAAAATGAAAGAGATCAAAACGAATTAAAACTCAATGATAAAAGTTAGCAGAAAATAAATACTTTGTATTTACCATCAGTTAGTTTGCATCCCGGAAGGTCAATTAGAATCAAATTCACCAATAAAATTCAAAATAAGACGATAGTATATAGTCTATTAATTACCACGCACCATTTTTATTACACCATAGCTTTTCAACAATTAGGCACTTGAAGGAGAAGAGAGACGTAATTGGTGCTAACAAAATATTGCACCTTAGGCACAACAAAATTAGCTTATAACCGTAACAGAAAACAAATTATTGGCTAAAAGCACCAAAAAAATTATAAGATGGCAGTAAAGACAGACATATTTATTTTAGATCCATGATAAAAGGTTATTATTCTATCCTTTTGTCATAAAAATTTCATATATTCCTAACTTCTAGTTTGATAAACTTTGGACGACCATTCTCTGTAATTGCTTTTTAATTCATTGAGAATTGATTCAACTACTTGAAATCCGTCAAAGGCACTGTAATTGCCGCACACATGATCTGGATTGGGATCAAACATTGATATAATTTCAACAACTTGCTAACTCAAGCCAAATAAATTTGCAATAACTCATCGTTGCAATTAGCAAATTGGCACCAACAATAATTAACAAAAATATACCATTAAAGAATATACACATATAAACTGGCACGCCTAAAATTATTATGGATGCCTATGGCCTAACACACTTGAAATACCTTTCAGTCAGGCTCTCTTCTTCGCAACAATGTGTGGCTTTTTTTCCTCATATTGAAAGGAAAAGCCAAAAGCCTAGGTAGTATATCTCTCTTGATTGGAATCTGTTAAAATTCTTGTGTGTTTCAAATATTTTTTCACTTTCATCATAACTACAATATCATCTTTAGAGTCTAGATGATTACTGTTTTGCCTGTATTTAAAGCAGTGCATAAGAAATTATTTTGTAATTGACAATTTATGTAAGGATCTTTAAGAGGAAAGTGAATTCAATCGCAAGCCATTATTATTTGAATTCAAACTTTGTAACCGTTCGGCTTAGTTGCTGAACTGATTATTACATTGGAACAAAAAAGAGATATTTAGTAGAGAAGTGAGAGAAAAAGGCAAAAAAATGACAAAAAAGGTAAATGTCTTTCCAAGCATTAGAGAGGTGCCACATAGGATTTTCAAAGCATATATATATATATATATATATATATATATATATATATATATATCAACTTTAGTTTCTTTAATAAAATATGATATATGTCAAAATCAACTTCATTTATCTTGGACTACTATTCCTTCTCTCATCATTTCTTAGTCAAAGTCGTCTTAATTTAAAAAATTAGAAGGAGTGAACAATGAAAGAATGTCCCCTCAAATACATTTTAAATTATAAACAAATAAATAAAGAATGTAGCTACGTGCCCCACGGTTCTTTTCAGCAACTAATTGGTGGCAAATTACAATAAATTACGTACTTGTCACACACGGGACCCATGAAAACGATAAGATGATTCATTTCAATATTCATACGCAATTCGAAGAAACAAAGTATTAAAAAGGTGGAAAAAAAAGAGATAAATTTTCTCCTTCTATTATGTGATTGATCTTTTTCTTTTCTTGTGTGGCAGACAATACCCTTCAAGACCCCATTCGGCCCCCACCCCACCCCCAACACCTACCCACCCACCTCACCCACTACCAAATTACATCTGTTATTTCTATATAGGGATTTTTGTACATATATATATAAAACCCCTTTGGGGAACCCGAAACAAGAAAAGTATAGTGTCCATAATAAGAGAAATGATACACAAATTAAGATGACAAGCAGCAGAGGAGCCACTGAGTGTTGCATGTGTGGAGATTATGGCTTATCTTCTCAGCTCTTCAAATGCAAAATATGCCAATCTAGATCTCAACATAGGTACCCACTTGAAATCTTTTTTATTATTATTATTATTATTTATGTTTTACTTTCACTTAATTGTGCCATTTAATTTATTTCCTTGATGCTGAGGAGCGGGGGATTTCCTGACATTTTTTTTTTAATTTTTATTAAGCTCTTAATTTTAAATTGTTATATAATATGATGGGGTGATTTAAATTGTTCCTAATGGAGATTAGTTATGCTACTTATTTTCTTGAAAATAATAACGATAAAAAGGCTTGCAGGTATTGCAGCAACTTGTATCCAAAAGCTGAGTCATATCGTATATGCAATTGGTGCTTGAGTCCAAAGGAGGTTTCTGCTGATAAAACACACAACTCTTCAAATTATTCTTCTTCTTCTTCTTCATGTAGAAATACAAGTGACGACATTCAAGATGGTCCAATAAAGTTCAAGAAAAAGCTAATTATTAGAAATGAAAATAATATTGATATTGGAATTGGACCAAGTCCAAAGGGTTCTTTAATGAAGCTGCAACTTATCAAGAAAACACAAAAGTCTATGGAGCGATCACCCTCATTGGCTGCTAGAAAAAGGGACACAATTGAAGAGAAAATAAGGAGAACAATATCAAATACGGGTATCACAAGAAAGGTACTTAAAAATAGGGTAAGAAGGTATAAGCTCTTGGATGAAGTCTCAAGCTAATCAAATTTTAAGAGTTTGTAGATTGTTAGGTTTTTTTTTTTTAAATGTATGGTTTTGGTGGTTTTGAAATTCCTAAGGCAGCCATTAATGATAGTACGTCACATCACTTGGGTTGCGGCTCTTCTTCGGACCCTGCGTAAATATAAATATAGAATACTTTATGTACTCGGTTGCCTTTTTAATAATAACAAACTATATACTCTGTGAATACACATATTTTGTGTGTGTATTTAGAAGTAAAAAGGGGTAGCATATGCAGCAATAATGGTGATAACAACCAGTCACCCAACATCATCAACATCATGGGTAGGAAATTCATGTTGAGTGTCTTATCACAATTCACAAATCACCACTATACAACATGGAAGCAATGATTAGTCAATTCTTTCTGTTTGTCTTTCTTTTACCTTAAAAAATATTCGCGTTTGGCCACAAATCCCAAATTTATTTTGAAAAATCTGATTTGGGTGAAGTTTGATTTGAAGATGAAAATGTGTTTGGACATACGTTTTCAAAACATATTTTCCAACTTTATTTTGGAAAAACATGTATATAATTCTCAAGTTTTGGGATTTTGGCCCAAAATCAGCTGGGATTTGGGATTTGGCCAAAATATGGGCAAAATTTATGGCCAAACATGAGTTTTGAAAATAAATCCCAAATTTATTTTGGCAAAACTCATGGCCAAAATGTGTAATTAAGTAGACAAATAACCGTAAATAAATACTAACTACTCTCATCATAGCACGGCATAGTGTGACTACTAGCTAGCTGCCAAGTAAGGGTGTACAAAGGAAACCGACAAACCGCACCAACCCGATAATCCGAGTCAAACCCAGAAAAAAACCCGACTATGGTTTGGTGTTGGAAAAAAAAAACCCAACCATAATTGGTTTGGTTTGGTTTTAACTAAAGAAAGTCAAACCGAAACCAAACCAACCCGACATTACATATATAGAAATTTTAGATATATTTAATATATAAATATACTTATTGTGATGTAATTTATAAATATTTCTTAAACTTTTTCATAATTATATCTTCTAAGGTATTATTTCAAGGTTGGATTTAGAACTTTTGAATGTTCCAGTAAGTTTTATAGCCATTAATATTAGTAACTTAAATAATGCTAACAAAAGCCAAAACCAAAATCAAATCAATACTAGTGCTAACAAAAGACATTCAATTCAATACTACGAACGACAATGTATTCACTACAAAAAAAAATTAAAATTAGCTACGAGCGTTGTCGCTAATCTGTCGCTAAACGCTCGTAGCTAGCAGAATTTCTTGATAATCCGTTGCTAATCCGTCGCTATATGAGATTAGATTTTTCTGTTTAGCTACAGAATTTGTCCGTCGTTAAAACCTAATATTTTAGTAGTGATTGAATATCTATTTTTTGTTTTGCAATAATTTAGATAAAAATGCATAACCTATTTTTATTTTTCTTTAGCGTTTAGTCATGTAATTAATACTCCCTTATTAGTCTACTTATTTTAGCATGACTTAGTACTTTTAGATTATGTTTATTTTTATTATGGCTTTCTAATTAGCAATATATATTTATATTACATAATTTTATGGTCTTTATTGTTGAATATTTTAGGATAATGCCATGACACATCTCAAATTTTATATTATTTTCTTGGAAAATACCTGATATTTTGTATCTTACTAGGATTAAAGAAATATTTTGAGAACAAGTTGTATGTTTTATGCTACGAAGATTTTATCGGAAAAAATCCGAATAACCCGAAAACCCGAGAAAACCCGAGATTGAAAAATCCGAGTCTTATTAGCTTGGTTTGGTCTTTAGATTTAATAACCCGACACAATTGGTTTGGTTTGATAATCGTAAAATCCGAACCAACCCGACCTATGTACACCCCTACTGCCAAGTAAGCTACTGAATCCAGCAACTAATTAAACTAGTGAAATTAACGATGAGTATGATCTTATTATATATATATACATATATATTACATAAGCATATATATTAAGTTGAACTTGCAGAATTCGTCCTAAGTCACCAAATAAACTTCACGCAGTATTGCATAAGTGATCTGAAATTTGTCAAATCGTTGAATGGAAAATGAAATAGGTAAAGGAACATATATAGGTAAGTTAGATGACCTTAGATCTCTTTCTCTTGCTTGGTTTCCTAGTCCTTGCATAAAAAAATACAAAGAAAAATACTCTGCAAACTGTATGCTTCTCTATTTTCTTAATTATTATCTTTAGATATCTCTTTTAATATTGACACGGCTGAAACGACTCCATAAAAAAGATTGAGTTAAAAAAATAAGTTTTTTCTTGCATTTCCTTCCGCCGTTTAATTAACAGTATTTTCATTTTCTCTTCCCTATAATTCGTTCGGGAAAGGGTAAAATCCATGCAAAAATTCCATTAGCGTACAGATCATCTTTACTTCACCAACTTCATTTACGTTTATTATTACATTCTATTCAATAATTAATCAGTTGTGTGATTAGTGAGTTAGTTGATGATTAGCTAGCCAGCCTAATTGCTGCTTGATGGATGTGTGCAGAACCCTAGTTATTAATATAGAAGCAAAAATATTAAGTATTGAAATATCAAATCAATTAGTATAAATTATACAGATTTGGTAAGAAAGACAATATTCAAAGGATAGGATAGTATAAAGCAAAGAAGGTCACGAGAATTAAATTGGGTTGAAAATAAAATAAAAAATCTCTAAAGTCGTTGAGACTAATGAAAAAGAGAAGGAATATTAGATTACGTGCTTTTACCCTATTCCTCAGAAAAATAATTGATCATTTGATTCAAATCGACTAAATGTTATGCTGTCTGAGCAATTATAGTATGAATACTGTTAGACTTTCCAAAATTTGATGGGACATTTGAACCGAATTCTAATATAGTGGACAAGATTTTCATGAGAATTAGATTCTCTCTGGAAACTTCCTACACCTTTTCTTTTTCTTTCGTTATTTTGGCATGTTATTTGCAAGCTAAGAGTATATATATTAGAGATAACATACTCCCTAAATGATTCGATTCCTAGCACAAAATTTTCCGTATTACCAAAGACTTGTGTGAAATGATAAGTATTCATTCATCCTTAATTAAATGTCTTGAGTTAAAGCCGTGGGTAGAGAATCGTTTTTATTAGGGAGTACTTTACGCCCTAAGTAGATTTTCCGGCGCAAATTTGAATTTAATCGGGCCCCATATGAATATCAGACACCAAATGAAAAACTAAACAATAAAAGCTTTTCTTGTTCATCATATGGGTTTTAAAAGAATAAAATAAAGATGTATAGAAAACCAAAAATACAGATGGTTTTTTTTTTTTTTAGCAAATCCACTAGGCAGGTGCCTAGGGCTAGTTTTATTGATAATAAAAGAGAAAGAAAACCACATAGGAAGAGTACAAATAAGGGGGACAATAGACCAGTAGTGTTGCTTATATGTCTTGGCTATATAATTACTCCTCTGCGCCTCACATTGCCCTTATGGCAGCCTCATGTAGAGGAGTCATGGGTTAACTGCCGGCAACGTCTCACGAGGGCATATAATCTCATAGCCATTTGGATATTTTTCCAAAGGCATTGGGGGGAGCAACACAAACTGGACTAAACCTTACCTTACTAATCCTATTGAGGCAAATAAAAAAGCCTCACCTACTAGCAAGCATGTAAAAAGAAAGAGCTAGCTAAAACTAAATATTCTATGATCATCACAGAGTTTATAACATACTCTGTGATGATATTACATAGAACTATACTAATGTGATGGTAAAATAGAAATATGTAGAAATAACAGTGATGGTCTTTCTTCTCTAGAGTTGTGTAGTCTTCAAATTGTAGATTCTTGTCTTCTTCATCGATCCTTTTCAAAATATTTTCAAAATTCATGACTTTTTCTTTGAGCGATTGGACTTTGTGGATGTAGTTTGGATGGCCTGTCTTTGTTTGGCAACTCTCATTGGAAGTCGCCTTACGTTTACATCTTCATTCACCCTGCCATCCCAACTTTTGTCCCTTGTGTGATATTTCTTGGTTTGCCCACTATGCATTGGTGATAAGTCCCCTTTCCTTGCAGCCTCTTTCCGACATTGCTGTAATATTGCATCTTCTTCACCTTCTTCATAAATATCTCTCCTCAAATTCACAGGTTGTGGAATGTCATGAGCAAGATCTTGAGGCACTAAGGTATTTCCATCTTCTTTATTGACCAAGACTGCCTCATTGTTCCTTTTACTGCTGGTTGTTGTTACCCTTCCAATGCTAGCAACATGTGGTGAGTTTAAATGACCTATGGGTGTGGAACTTACCAAAGCATGGGTTTTAGGTTTTGGCCAGTGGGTTTTTTTATATATATATATATATATATATATTACAATTTCTTTTCTTGCGTTGAGGGATTTGTAGGTCAATACAACTGCATTATTGTTGTTAGAAGAAGACTTTTTCTTCAAGGTTTTAAAGGTATACTTTAAAAGAAAAACAAATTGAAGATTGACTACTGGACTTGACCAAGTAAATTTCTGTCCATTAAAAAGAAAGACTTGACCTAGCAACGAGTGATATAGAGGACATCATTAATTACTAGAGTCAACTTCTCATTTAGCTCCGGTTTGATCACAGATTTTGCTAACCTTTTTTTAAAAAAAAAATTAAAAATATTGTTTATTCATGGAATATGATCAATTTTTTAAAAAAATAATTTTTTTTCAAGTTCCTAAAATCTTGTTTTTTAAGGTAGTTTTTGGGTGAAATTTTCTTCCACTAAAAAAACTTCAAGTTTTGTTCAAATAAAATGCATGTTCAAACACAACTTCAACTTTTAAAAATTAATTTTCAACACAATTTCAAAAACTCTTTTTAAAAATTTTAACCAAATGTATGTCCAAACACTAGCTTAGTAATTAGGATGACATATCTTGTGACACATAGCTCAATGTTTTTCAATTTGGCCAAAATAAATTCATACCATACATTCATTGTAGGCACGTCTAGACATAGGATACAATATAGAAATATTTTTTTCAAAAATAATTTCAATTTCATCTCCAGATAGGAAGATACTTTCCCACAACCAGTATCGACTGAACAATTTAATTATATAATCATCAAGTAAAGTGAAAATATATACACTTAATTCTAATTCATAACGTACATTCATTGTAGGCACGTATATTCTCTCCTGACGTTATTTTAGTTCAATTTTTGTGATTTTCCTAAGTTAAAGTTTCTATTTATTAAGAGTATCAGCTGTATTTATATGTATAGTCATATTCATAGTTAGTTGGTTGAGTTCATTGTTAGCTAATTGAGTAGACTAGTGAGGGTATATTTTGTAATTAGCTAATGGTAGTTGTTATTACATTTTCCTTACACATGTATATGTAGGACATCCAATAAAGAATGAAATCAGATTTCTTTTCCCCAAAATATCATTCTTCTAGAAGTCTCCTCTGTTCTCTCTTTCTCTCTCGTTTGAGCTCAACTGCCATAACAATGACAGCTTGAGATTACATTTTATCTTTCAATCTTAATATGGTATCAGAGCTAAGGCTCACGTATAACTCAATTCTCATTCAGGCTTATCATTTTTGTCACCAATTTTTGCTCGATTAACAGTCACAAGTCGAGAATCGTGAAACCCTAATTTTCACCCACTATTCACAGATTTGTGAATTATTTCATCTTATATCATGGCGGTAGATGGTGATACATCGAATTCAACTGATTCACCTGACGTAAACAAGGATACGTTAGATTCAACCAATCCTCTGTACATGCATCCTTCGGAAAATGCCGGATCGATACTGGTGTCGATAGTATTTGACGGAGCTGGCTATAGATCTTGGAGAAGAGGCGTCATCATAGCTCTCTCAGTGAAGAATAAGGTTGGCTTCATCAATGGAAAGTGTAAGAAGCCAGATTCCGAACATCCGATGTTTGAACAGCGGGAGAGATGCGACGATATGGTAACATCGTGGATTCTCAACTCACTTTCAAAGGATTTAGCAGATAGCTTACAATATGTAGTCGATGCAAAGGAATTATGGCAGGAACTGGAGGATAGGTACGATCAAACGAATGGAGCAAAATTATACCAGCTTGAAAGAGAAATCAATGACCTAAGTCAGGGAACCCAAGACATTACAGGATATTATACAAAAATGAAGAAGCTTTGGGAAGAATTAAACACTTTAAATGCACATGCTCAATGTAAATGCCAATGTACTTGTGGTGCCAAGGCAAGTATGCAGAAGGCGGAACAGGACATGAGGCTAATTAGGTTTTTAATGGGATTGAACGAGGTTTACACAGTCGTGAGAGGGAGCATTTTGATGATGAATCTGTTGCCCGGCATTGCACAAGCTTTTTCCATCCTAATCCAAGAAGAAAAGCAAAGGGAAGTTAGGACAAATAACCACCTGATGATAGAGTCTACTTCAATGAATGTCAATGGTCCTGCAAATCCAGGTTTTAGGACTAACTATGCTGAGAAGAGAAATAACATAGGGAACAACTCATACAGAGGCAATTATCCATCAAATAGGTCACGCTTGTTTTGTGATTACTGCAAGAAGCAAGGGCACATTAAAGACAAATGCTACAAATTACACGGATTCCCCCAGGATTTTAAATTCACTAAAGGGAAAAATGTGGCATCTGCTGCAAATGTGCATAGAGGAGCAGAAGAGATGATTCCTGGAGCACACAGTGAAATAGATGCCGGAAATCAAAGTGTGGGGATTCAAAACTTGACAAAGGAGCAGTACAATCAGCTACTGCATCTATTGGAAAACTTCCATGGTGGAAACGCAATTGAAGTCTCAAACAATATTACAAGTGGAGTAGCAAACTTTGCAGGTATACTAGCTTGCTCTACTCATAAGGAAATTATTAGTAATCTTTCACGTAAATATTTCAAATCATCTGCTGAATATTGGATTTTAGATTCCGTAGCTACAAATCATATGTCCTTTAACAAAGCCCTGTTAACCAACATTAGAATTTTACCTTATCCTTTCCTAGTAACCTTACCAAATGGATACAAAGTTAGAGTGACAGAAGTTGGTGATGCAATCCTTAGTCCCAAACTGACTTTACAAAAAGTGTTGTTTGTTCCTAGCTTTAGGTTCAATTTGATCTCAGTTCATTGTCTAACATCATATCTTAAGTCGATTGTTCAATTTTCTGATTTATCCTGCATTTTACAGGCCCCTTCAATGAAGAGGCCTCTTGAGATTGGTAGAGCAAGGAATGGTCTGTACTTCCTCTGCTCAAGATGCTAGTTCCTTGGTTCTGCCACTGTCTCTACTCCTCTCATTTCAAATTCTAGTTCTGTTTCTACTAGCAATTCAAACAATGCACAATCACACACATCACTCACTGTAAATAATGACCATTCAAAAACCTGTCCTGCTGATTGCCTTTCATCATCATCTGTAAATGTTTCATTTTCAAGCAATAAGAAAGGCTCTTGTACATCTTCTTGTTCTACTGATGTGTGCGCATCCTTTTTCAATTCTTTATCTTATGGAAAATGTGTTGATTATTTGTGGCATAATAGATTAGTCCATGTACCTTTTGTGAAAATGAGGGAAATGTACTCCATACCTGTAAACTTTGCACCCAAATAACCATTCTTATGTTCAATTTGCCCTATGGCCAAACAAACAAGACTGCCATTCCCTCAGAAAACTACTTCTTCCACAAATATTTTTGATCTCTTACACATAGACCTCTGGGGCCCATACCACACGGTGACCTATGATAATTACAAGTATTTTCTTATAATAGTTGATGACTTCAGTAGGTCCACATGGACATATCTCCTAAGCTGTAAAAGCAACACTCTTCAAGTGCTGAAAAATTTTGTATGCATGATAAAAAACCAGTTCAGTTCTTCCATTAAGTCCATGAGGTCTGATAATAGACTGGAGTTTGTCAACAATGAAACCTCATCATTCTTCAATTCCAAAGGCATTATACACCAGAAAACTTGTCAATACACACTTCAACAGAATGGTGTGGTGGAAAGGAAACACAGATATTTGTTAGAAACTGCAAGAGCCCTATTATATCAATCCAAATTGCCCATAAAATATAGGGGAGAATGCATCCTCACAGCCACATACTTGATTAACAGATTACCCTCTACAATCCTAAATAACAAATCACCTTTTGAAATGCTTTACAAGAAGAAACCCAAATATTCACACCTTAAAAGCTTTGGATGCTTATGTTATCCTACTGTTCTCAAAACTTATAAAGACAAATTTGAACCTAGAATTGAGCCCCATGTTTTTGTAGGATACCCTTTTCGCACAAAAGGGTACAAGGTACTAAACTTAGCCACTAAAAGAATACACATTTCCAGGGATGTACAATTCCATGAGCATGTTTTTCCTTTTGTAGTGTCTTCTGATCACACTTCTTTTCCTTGTGTTCTGCCATTCTTTCACTCTGATCATGCATGTGAAGGTCATACTAAATTTTACCCCTTTAAACCATTAAAACATCTATTTTACTGCCTTAAGCAATGATAGTCAGCATATGATGAGAAGCATTTCACATGATTCTGAACCAACTTCTTATGAGGAAGCAGCCTTAAACCCTGCATGGCATGCTGCCATGACACAAGAGTTTGAGGCTTTATATGCTAACCATACATGGGATATAGTGACATTGCCTGCAGGTAAGAAAGTTATAGGATGCAAATGGGTGTATAAAATCAAACACAAAGCAGATGGGACTGTTGAAATATTTAATGCAAGACTTATGGTGAAAGGATACACACAACAAGCAGGAATAGACTACAATGAAAAATTCTCTCCAGTTGTCAAGATGACAACTGTTAGGACCTTGATTAGTATAGCAGTTAAAAGAGGCTGGGACTTGTTTCAATTGGATGTAAACAACGCATTTTTACATGGAGACCTACATGAAGAAGTGTATATGGAGGTACCACAGGGACTGCAGATTGAGGTTCCTGGCCTGGTTTGCAAGTTGAACAAGTCCTTATATGGACTAAAACAGGCAAGCATGCAATGGTATGACAAGCTAACTGCAGCATTATGCACCAGGGGCTTTAGACATTCCGAAAATGATTACTCCTTGTTCTGTAAAAAGAATGGGTTTTCAATTGTATTTGTAGCTGTCTATGTTGATGATGTGATTCTTACAGGCACATATGTAGAAGAAATTAAGGCACTAAAGGCTTTCCTGCATGATCAGTTTAAAATCAAGGATCTGGGGAAGTTGCACTACTTCTTGGGACTGGAAGTGTTCTACAAAGACAATGGGGTCCTCATTTCACAAAGGAAGTTCACCGCATATTTATTAAGAGAATATGACAGTCAGTACACCACAGTCTCCTCTCCTCTAGACTGTACTCTCAAGTTGAAGGCAGAAGAGGGAAACTTACTGACAGATCCTACTTATTATAGAAAGTTAGTTGGGAAGCTTAACTTTCTTACCAATACAAGGTTAGATATTGCCTATAGTGTACAACACTTAAGCCAGTTCATGCAAACACCTAGAGAGCCACACCTCAAAGCTGATTTCCATGTCTTGAGGTATCTTAAGAATGATCCATCTTTGGGCATTTTCCTCTCCAATGATCCAGATTGCACTGTAAAAGCCTACTGTGATTCAGACTGGGCTGCATGCCCTGATTCTAGATGATCAGTGAGTGGATATCTTGTCTTACTGGGTGATAGTCCCATTAGCTGAAAGTCCATGAAGCAAGAAACAGTCTCCCTCTCCTCTGCAGAAGCAGAATACAAATCAATTAGGAAGGTGGTTGGAGAATTAGTCTAGCTCAAACGATTGCTAGAAGAATTGACAGTACCTTGCCTACATCCTATACCAATCTTTTGTGATAGTCAGGCTGCAGTACACATGGAAAGGAACCCAGTGTTTCATGAACGTACCAAGCATATAGAGGTAGATTGTCATTTTGTCCGCGACAAGTTGTACGATGGCCTCATCACCTTGCATCACATCTCCACAGATGTTCAGCTAGCAGACATTCTTACCAAGGCCTTGACAGGCATCAAGCATACTTCTATTCTCAGCAAGTTGGCAGTGAGTTCCTTACCTCCAACTTGAGGAGGGTATTAAGAGTATCAACTGTATTTATATGTATAGTCATATTCATAGTTAATTGGTTGAGTTCATAGTTAGCTAATTGAGTAGCTAATAAGCACGAAGGATATTTCCGTGCAGGTGAGGACGAGGGACATGCATTTTGATGTGATATCTATTTCCCGTGTATACGGTTGTGCCCTTACCTTGAGCTGTTATTGTTGTATTTACATATTTGGGGTGACTTGTTGTTATTGTCCTGTACTTGACCTTTATCTCGATTGTTGTTGCATTGTCCATGTCTTTTACTTGCTTAACTTACAATTACCATGTCTATTTCTGCTTTTATATTATATGTTGTATCTATTCTGTTGCACTTCAGTATAAGCCTTCCACTATGCTAGCCATTCATGCCCTTACTTGTTAATTTGTAAAGAACATGTGTTTTCCTCTTAATTGTTATATTTTTACTTAGGCCTCCAACATGCTAGTTAATTGAAGTTGATATTTCCTGTTTTCCAATTGTTGTTGTTACTCTCGTGCTTTCCGCTTAGTCCTTTACTGTGACCCACATGTGTATCCTTGTCCACGGTTGCTACTTGCGTATTTCCTACTTAGAAGTTCCTATTATTGTGTTCTTGTGATATGGTTGGTTCTGTTATACGATCACTTGGGAAATATGAGTTGAACGCACGAAGGGTGTTGCCGTGCTAATTGAATTGTTACATAATTTCATTTATACATGGTAAGGATGAGATAAAAGCACGAAGGGTGTTACCTTGCCATGTGATTTGACATTTTGACATTTTTGACATATATCTCATACCAGAAAAGATTGTAAATATAATATTGTGGTTCTTTACAATATTCATTGTCTGACTCGCCGGGTTGTATTTGATAGTTATACTTTGAATTGCTTTATTGTTAATCTAATGTACAGGTTATTTAAATAAGCATCTTTTTAACTAAAAGCCTCGTCACTACTTCGGCGAGGTTAGACAAAATACTTACTAGTACATGGGGTCGGTTGTACTGATACTGCACTTCTGCACGTCCCGTGCAGATTTTGGAGCGGAGCTGCTGGTGACGTCGGGTGCTCATTCAGAAGATGTTCGTGTGTTTTGATATAGCTACCACTTGTCATTGGTAGTTTAGATTATTGCTAATCTGTTGATGTAATCTTCAAACATAACGTATATTTATTTGTATCACTTTTGAAGTTTCAAATATTAGAAGCTCGTGATTCGTACTACCTGGTCTTGGTAAATTTGTAAATGTTTAGTTATCTATTTTCTATCCTCTTATAATCTCAGTTGGGTGGTATTTTCTGTTAGTTGGCTTACCTAGCGGGTTGAGTTAGGTGCCATCACGACTTGTGGTTTTTGGGTCGTGACAAGGTGGTATCATCTGCAATTGCCAACCATTTATGGCAATTGCAAAAACACTGTTCATTGGGAAATGCGATACAACCCAGCAAGTCACACAATGAATACTGTAAAGAACCACAATAGAATATTTACGATCTTTCCTGGTATGAGATATATGTCACAAATGTCAAAATGTCAAACCACATGGCACGGTAACACCCTTCGTGCATTTATCTCATCCTCACCATGTATAAATGAAATTATGTAACAATTAAATTAGCACGGCAACACCCTTCGTGTGTTCAACTCATCTTTCCCAAGTGATTGTATAACAGAACCAACCATATCACAAGAACACAATAATAGGAACTTCTAAGTAGGAAATACGCAAGTAGCAACCGTGGACAAGGATACACATGTGGGTCACAATAAAAAACTAAGCGAAAAGCACGTGAGTAACAACAACAATTGAAAAACAGGAAATATCAACTTCAATCAACTAGCATGTTGGAGGCCTAAGTACAAATATAACAATTAAGAGGAAAACACATGTTCTTTACAAATTAACAAGTAAGGGCATGAATGACTACCATAGTGGAAGGCTTACACTGAAGTGCAACAGAATAGATACAACATATAATATAAAAGTAGAAATAGACATGGTAATTGTAAGTTAAGCAAGTAAAAGACATGGACAGTGCAACAACAATCGAGATAAAGGTCAAGTACAGGACAATAACAACAAGTCACCCCAAATATATAAATACAATAATAACATCTCAAGGTA